TGAAGAGAGAGAGAGAGAGAGAGAGAGAGAGAGTGTGAAGAAGAGAGAGAGAGAGAGAGAGTGAAGAAGAGAGAGAGAGAGAGAGAGGTGTGAAGAAGAGAGAGAGAGAGAGAGAGTGAAGAAGAAGAGAGAGAGAGAGAGAGGTGTGAAGAGAGAGAGAGAGAGAGAGAGAGTGTGAAGAAGAGAGAGAGAGAGAGAGTGTGAAGAAGAGAGAGAGAGAGAGAGGTGAAGAAGAGAGAGAGAGAGGTGTGAAGAAGAGAGAGAGAGAGAGTGTGAAGAAGAGAGAGAGAGAGAGAGAGTGTGAAGAGAGAGAGAGAGAGAGAGAGAGGTGTGAAGAAGAGAGAGAGAGAGAGTGTGAAGAAGAGAGAGAGAGAGAGAGAGAGAGAGAGAGAGGTGAAGAAGAGAGAGAGAGAGAGAGAGATGTGTGAAGAAGAGAGAGAGAGAGAGGTGTGAAGAAGAGAGAGAGAGAGAGAGAGAGAGAGTGAAGAAGAGAGAGAGAGAGAGAGAGAGAGAGAGAGAGAGAGAGAGAGAGAGAGTGTGAAGAAGAGAGAGAGAGAGAGAGAGAGAGAGAGAGATGTGAAGAAGAGAGAGAGAGAGAGAGTGAGAAGAGAGAGTGTGAAGAGAGAGAGAGAGAGAGAGAGAGAGAGAGAGAGAGAGAGAGAGGTGAAGAAGAGAGAGAGAGAGTGTGAAGAAGAGAGAGAGAGAGAGAGTGTGAAGAAGAGAGAGAGAGAGAGAGAGAGGTGTGAAGAAGAGAGAGAGAGAGTGAAGAAGAGAGAGAGAGAGAGAGAGAGAGAGAGAGAGAGAGAGTTGTGAAGAACAGAGAGAGAGGGAGAAGTGTGAAGAAGAGGGAGAGGTGAAGAAGAGAGAGAGAGAGAGAGAGAGAGAAGAGAGAGAAGAGAGAGAGAGAGAGAGAGAGAGAGAGAGATGTGAAGAGAGAGAGAGAGAGAGAGAGAGAGAGAGAGAGTGTGAAGAAGAGAGAGAGAGAGAGAGTGAAGAGAGAGAGAGAGAGAGAGAGAGAGAGAGAGAGGTGTGAAGAGAGAGAGAGAGAGAGAGAGAGAGAGAGGTGTGAAGAAGAGAGAGGAAAGATGGGAGACAGGGAGAGAAAAAAAGAGGGAAGACAATGAGACGAAGAGGATGATGTACATAAAGGGAAAGGAAGAGAGAGAGAGAGAGAGAGAGAGAGAGGAGGTGTAACAAGAAGAGGTGTGAAGAAGAGAGAGAGGAAAAGACTGGAGAGAGGAAAGACGGGAGAAAGGGAGAGAGGCGAGAGAGAGAGAAAAGGAAGGGGGACAATGTACATTCAGGGGAAGAAAAGAGAGAGAGGAAGAGTAAGACAGATGGAGAGAAAGAGAAGGGGAGGGTATGGAGCGGGGTGAAGAAGAAGATGAGAGAGAGAGAGAGAGAGAGAGAGAAGGAAGGGGACGATGTACTTTAAGGAAAAGGAAGAGAGAGAAGTAACGTAAGAAGAAAGAGACAGAGGGGAGGGTATAAAGAGGTGGAAGAAGAGAGAAGAAATATGGGAGAGAGAGAGAGAGAAGAGGGACAATGTACATTAAGGGGAAGGAAGAGAGAGGGAGAGAGGAGGAGTAAGAAGAAAGAGGCGGAGAGAGAGAAGGAAGTTATGGAGAGGTGTGAAGAGGAGAGAGCGACATGATGGGAGCGAGAGAACGCAGATGGATCGAAAAAGAAAAATGGTGAAGACGGGAGAGAGAAGAGGAAGAGAAGGAGATAAAGCGAGATAGACGGAGGCAAGAAAGTAGGACGGAAGAGAGACGAAGAGAACGGAATGAAGTTAGGAGGAGTGGGGACAAGAGAGAAAAGAAGAAAACAAGAAGACGGGAGAGAGAGAGAGAAGTGGAGGAAAAGAGAAAAGAGAGGGAGAAAGAGAGAAAAAAATACATATACATCAAGGACTTTGGAGAAAGAGGGACCGCGAGGTATAGAGAGGAGAAAAGAGAGAGAGAGGGGAGCAAATGTACACTAAGGGAGGAAGGGAGAAAGAGAGGGGAGGAGGTAGAGAGAGAGAGAGAGAGAGAGGAAGAGAGCTAGACGTAGATGAAAGGAGGAGGAAGTGTAGAAACCTCCCGGGGGCAGATCTATAGTGTATTGATATGAGGCCTGCGCGCGGAACATGAGCGATATGGAAGCACCTGACACCGGAGCACCACGTTAGACCACCGTATCGACAGGTGCATTGACAGGTGCATCGACCGGTGTATCGACAGGCGAAGCTAAAGAACTGGACTAATGGACCCCCTCCTCCGGGACCTCCAGCTTTACTCTGCATGACGAGAGTGTGGAGGGAAAGCCACGGACTCTCGAAAGAAAAGGGTTTTATAACAACCAACGAGCAACTGGACAAACGTTTATTTAGGTCAGGGGTCGCCAAACTTTTTTCTCTAGGGGCCACATTATCGCTCCTGACTGCGATGAGGGTCTGGGGTCAGGTAGGTTGTGTAAAAGAATTGTATGAGCCTGACGACGCAGATTATATTCTTGGAAAACTGCAACACTTTCTTTACATATCAGACAAATTGCGAGGTCCTTAAGCGGAACAAAAATTAGAATCGGTCATCCACTGTTCTTTGAAAACTTGGCACTCTCTTCATACTTTAAGGGCCCATTTACATGAGAACGATTGCAGGTAAAAACGACTAAATATTTTATCAGAAGTGCCTTTTGTTTAGAGGGTGAAGGCCTTTTTGCGGTTTAAAAACACAAAAATCTGGGAGTCGAAAAGTTGAATACGCTCAGCCATAGGGTTTCTGTCTACACTGCCCAAGATGCAAAACTCTGGTCAGATCTGCTCATGTCTCATACGTGTTTACGTCACATACATCACCACCGAGCGTCACCACCGAGTCGCCCAGTATGCATACACAATTGAATTCCACACATTTTTGCGTCACCGTATCCACACAGATTTCCTCCCGAAAACGCTCGTCTAAACGCTGAATAAAAAGTGAAGACGCGATGCCGCTTTTGCGTCTTCTGTTCAGTCCGTCATCATATAAACGTAGCCTAACATGAGTCATTTTGCTGTCTTTAACTGTACTATAGAACTCTGCACGTGCGTTGATGGTCACTGTTTGATCTCAAGCTTGTTAGGTGATGAAAATATGGTAACAAATGTAAATACCTTAATTGAAAAAAAATCAACAAAATACAAGATGCAGACGTGTTATTATTTGCCAAAAAGTAATGCCATGACAACTTTTGAGATTTGCCTCATAGGCCAGTTCAAGTGGAAAGGATCAGAGGGGCTGGGGGGGCCGGTCAAAGGGGCATGGTGTGCCAGAGTCGGCCCGTGGGCCATAGTTTGATTACATCTAATTTAGGTTGAATAACTTCCGCAGCTCATCCAAGCCACTTCTTCAGTTGTGGTCAGACGCTGGTGGACACTTCCTTATATCTACCTGAAGGAGGAGCTAACTACACTGAAACTACTCTGAAACTAACACACTACTACTTTCACTACAGTTTCTATTTGTTAACTTGGCCTGTTCAAGTGTCCTGAGTGAGGGGACACATTAGCAGAATCATTCATGGCCGTAATGAGTGTTTTCGCACCTCTGGCCCTGACCTGACTATCACTATTGTTCTCTGTGTTTTAGGTTTGAGGATGGAGTTGTAAATAGGAGACCAAAATTTTAGTGTGAATTATTTCTGTGATAATCTCAAGAATTCAAGTAAAAAAAACATATCTCTTCATGTTGTCTGCACTGAAATGAATCATGGGATATGTAGTTTCCGATATTCAAGGGTGTAGGTTTGTATAGGGACGGTGGGAAGATGTCACAATCAACATAGACAAAATAGTCCCTACCAATATTTGTCCATTTTATTTTAATAAACAAAAATACACATTTTCATAGTATTAATTGAACACATTTTAGACATTCTGAGATGTATTCAGTGCTATAACGACAGGGCTACACCTGCCGCTGTTTCATTGGCTGTAACAGAGTGATGTCATTAGTGGAGCCAGGAGCCTAAACCGGGGACGTGGCAGGAGAGGATCAGTGCCCGAAGATGTCGGCTTGAGCAGGCAAGAGTGAAGACGCTGCACCAAACTTTAAAAAACTTTTCAAAAGGAACTTACTTGGCTTCATCTTCAATTAAACTTGTCTTATAATGAGTCGCCGCGGAAAAAGAGCCAAACGGAGCCCTACTCGTGCGCCGTGAGCAGCCGGACTGATAATTAGCTGATAATGTCCCCACCAAAGCTGAGACCAAACCAAACCCTTGCCGATGTTTATAAGCTGTTTCTACTTTAAAACCATGAATTTAAGCAAAGGAAGTTATAATTCTATATACTGTGACAGCCCATGATATTACTGTGAGACTTTTGACGATACGATATCACGATATTTCGGTTATTCCTACATCCCTAGTGTTTTCCTATTTGTTTTTCGCTCTCGGGACAAGAAAAAATCTGTGATCTGCGCTCTTTTAAAATGAAATACTATCATACATAAAAGCATCAAAGCATGAACGCAAATCAATAGTCACATGTGTTTTTACTAGCCCTCGCATACACACGCCTCCGTTTACAACCGGCGACCTCCGAAAAGAGCAACCCAGACTAGTGCGGTGTGCAGCAGCCAGCCAGCCAGCGGGGCGAGCGAGCAGCAGATTAGAGCGGTGAGAGAGTGCAGAGAGGGCGAGCGAGAGGAGAGGAGAGATAGGAGAGAGGGAGAGAGAGAGGGATTGAGAGAGAGAAAGAGAGGGAGGGAGGGACTGCATCCTCCCGCGCGCTGCCACTGCTCCTCAGACTAACCAGCGAGCAGCACCCAGCACCCATCTCCTCTACGCGCTATGGACCAACCTCACCCAGGCACCCCCCCTACGGCACCCGCGGGACCCCCCCTTCTGCGCCGGACCTGAGCCGCACTTCCACCCGTAACCCCCCTCTCTCTCTGTCTTTCTATCTCTCCTTCCCTCCACTCCGCTCCGTTGAATGACCTTCTGAAACTATACCTCGGATTGTACTCGGGACCATGGAACTTGGGAGGGGCGTTTCGGCACGGGACCCCCCCGCGGAGAAGGGGCTTTCTGGGGACGATCTTGCTGCTGGCGTGCGGTTGGAGCTGGAGGATAGCTTCGGCGCAGATGGACGAAGGGAAGTCGGTGTACTTCTGGGAGACAGGTGAGTTGCGGTGTGCGTTTTGGAGAAGAGCTTGATTGTGACTGTGTGGGGCAAAGGCGAGCGGTTACTGGATCATGGCGATTTGATGGTTGAGTGAGTTTTGCACGGCAGGTTGGTTGAAAAATGGAACTTTGCGGTTTGAGTTGCATCGTTTCTCTATGATTGGAAAGTAAAAGATTTCTACTTAAATTAAATGAGTTGAATGATTGAAGTAATTTGAGTAGTTCTGACTAATTTATGGTACTTAAAACGCATGGGTTACTGGTCTTGTTTTACAGTGTTTTCCTGACTTTGGGATATAATTCTTTATTTTTTTTTTTAGTATTACTGGCTGTATGATGATATTAACAGGAACTAAGCTGAAAGGATTTCTACTTAAATGAAATGAGTTGAATAAATGAAGTAATTTAAGTAGTTCTGACTAATTTGGTACTTAAAACGCATGGGTTACTGGTCTTGTTTCACAGTGTTTTCTTGACTTTGGGGTATAATTCATTATTATTATTATTATTTTATATTATTGGCTCTATGCTGATATTAACAGGAACCAAGCTCTAAAGAATTTCTACTTAAATGAAATGAGCTGAATGAATGAAGTAATTTGAGCAGTTCTGACAAATTTGTGGCACTTAAAACGCACGGGTTACTGGTCTTGTTTCACAGTGTTTTCCTGACTTTGGGATATAATTCATTATTTTTATTTTTTTTTTAGTATTACTGGCTGTATGATGATATTAACAGGAACTAAGCTGAAAGGATTTCTACTTAAATGAAATGAGTTGAATAAATGAAGTAATTTAAGTAGTTCTGACTAATTTGTGGTACTTAAAACGCATGGGTTACTGGTCTTGTTTTACACTGTTTTCTTGACTTTGGGGTATAATTCATTATTATTATTTTTTTATATTATTGGCTCTATGCTGATATTAACAGGAACCAAGCTCTAAAGAATTTCTACTTAAATGAAATAAGCTGAATGATTGAAGTAATTTGAGTAGGTCTGACCAATTTGTGGTACTTAAAATGCATGGGTTACTGGTTTTACAGTGTTTTCCTGACTTTGGGATATAATTCATTATTATTTTTTTAAATTATTGGCCGTATGATGATATTATCAGGAATCAAGCTCTAAAGGATTTCTACTTAAATGAAATGAGTTGAATAAATGAAGTAATTTCAGTAGTTCTGACTAATTTGTGGTACTTAAAACACATGGGTTACTGGTCTTGTTTTACAGTGTTTTCTTGACTTTGGGGTATAATTTTATTTAATTTTATTTTTATTGGCTGTATGCTGATATTAACCATAATCAAGCTGTAAATAAATTCTACTTAAATGAGTTGAATAAATTAAGCAATTTAAGTAGTTTTGACTAATTTGTTGCACTTAAAACACATGGGTTACTGGTCTTGTTTTACAGTGGCTGACTTTGTGGTATAGTTTTTTTTTTTTTTTTAAATTATTATTATTATTGGCTGTATGTGGATATTAACAGAAATCAAGCTCTAAAGAATTTCTACGTAAATGAGTTGAATGAATGAAGTAATTTGAGCAGTTCTGACTAATTTGTCTGACTTAAAACGCATGGGTCATTGGGCTTGTTTTGCAGTGTTTTCTTGACTTTGGTGTATAATTGCTTTTTTCTTTTTATTATTATTGGCTGTTTATACTGATATTAACAGAAACCAAGATGTAAATGATTTCTACTTAAATTAAATTAGTTGAATGAATGGAGCAATTTGAATAGTTCTGACTAATTTCTGGTATTTAAAATGCATGGGTCAATGGTCATGTTTTACAGTGTCTTCTTGACTTGGTCTTTTACAGTGTCTTTTATTTTTTATTTATTTATTTTTATATTATTAGCTGTATACTGATATTAACAGGAATCAAGCTGTAAAGGATTTCTACTGAAATGAATTAACTTAAAACGCATGGGTTACTGGTCTTGTTTTACAGTGTTTTCCTGACTTTGTGGTATAGTTTTATTTATTTTTTAAATTTTTAATATTAACTGTATGCTGATATTAACAGGAACCAAGCTGGAAAGGATTTCTACTTAAATGAGTTGAATAAATGAAGTAATTTAAGTAGTTCTGACTAATTTGTAGTACTTAAAACGCATGGGTTAATGGTCTTGTTTTACAGTGTTTTCCTGACTTGGGTATAATTTTGTTTAATTTTATGTTTAAATAGTATTGTCTGTATGCTGATATTAACACCAATCAAGCTGTAAAGGATTTCTATTTAAATTAAATGAGCTGAATGAATGAAGTAATTTAAGTAGTGGTGACTAATTTGTGGTACTTATAATGCATGGGTTAATGGTCTTGTTTTACAGATTTTTCTTGACTTCTGGGTGTAGTTTTTTTAAATCATGATTTGACCGTTTGCTGGTTTTAACGGAGCCAAGCTGTATAGGATTTCTACTTAAGTTAAATGAGTTGAATGAATGAAGCAATTTGAGTAGTTCTGACTAATTTGTGGTACTTACAACGCATGGGTTAATGGGCTTGTTTTTCAGTGTTTTCCTGACTTCGTGTGTAAATATAGAAAATAGATGGTACTTTTTGCAGTGTGTGAGGGTAAAACATCCAAAAAAATTTCAACGGAATTTAAGTTAGATTCAATCGTATGGGTTTATGATCAAGAACTAAGCTGTTTTTGCAAGGTATTATAAAATATGCTGGTATTTTTCAAATGAAAAGTAAAAAAAAATCTGCTTAAGTTAAATGATTTAAAGAATTTTAAGCAGTTCTGACTAATTTGTGTACCATAAGATTGCATGGAATAAGCAGATGGTACTTTTGCAGTGGAATGTAGTGTAATGAAGCTGAGTATGATTTTTTTTTAAACATGCAAAAAATGGCAACATCATTTAGGTTGGATTTGATATAGAAAACCAAGATGTAAAGGATTTCTACTTAAGTTAAATGACTTGAATGGATGATATAATTTGAGTAATTCTGACTAATTTGTGGTACTTAAAACACATGGATTAATGAGCTTGTTTTACACTGTTTTCTTGACTCCACAGGTTAATTAAGCAGATGGTACTTTTTGCAGTGTGTGAATGCAACGAAGTCGGTTACGATTTTTAAAAACATGCAAAAAAAGACCACAGAATTTAAGTTTGATTTGTGTGTACACTGATATTAACAGGAACCAAGTTGTTTTTGCAAGGTGTCATCAAAAGTGCTTTCAAATGTAAAATTAAAGACATTTATTTAAGTTAAATGAGTTGAATAGAATGAAGTAATTTGAGTAGCTTTGACTAATTTGTGTAATTTGTTGAATGGATTAAAAGTCTTGCTTTACTCTGTTACTTCTGATTTCTGAATATGATTTTTAAAACATACAAATGCCAACAGAATTTAAGTTAGATATGATGCTGGCATTAGGAGGATTTCTACTTAAGATAAATGAGTTGAAGGAATGAAGTGATTTGAGTAGTAGTTTTGCAGCGTCTGAGTGTAAAACATGCAAAAAAATGGCAACAGAATTTAAGTTAGATTTGATCATCTGCTGTTAGTCACAGGAACCAAGCTGTTTTTGCAAGCTGACATCAAATGTGCTGGTATTTTCAAATGGAAAATAAAAGATTTCTACTTAATTTAAATGAGTTGAATGGATTTTGAGTAGTTCTGTCTAATTTGTGTCATGGATTAAGGTGCTTGTTTTACAGTGTTTTCTATTAATTAAGCAGATGGTATTTTTTTGCAGTGTGAGTGTAATGAAGCCAAGTATGATCTTTTTTTTTTAACATGCAAAAAATGGCAACAGAATTTAAGTTAGATTTGATGAAGAAAACCACGATGTAAAGGGCTTCTACTTAAGTTAAATGAGTTGAATGAATGAAGTAATTTGAGTAGTTCTGACTAATTTGTGTTACTTAAAATACATGGATTAAGGGGGTGTTTTTCTGACTTCATGTGTTAATTAAGCAGATGGCACTTTTTGCAATATGTGAGTGAAACGAAGCCAGGTAGGATGTTTTAAAACAAGCAAAAATGGAAACAGAATTTAAATTAGATTTGATTGCCTGTTGGTATTAACAAGGACATATTCAAATGTAAAAATAAAGAGATCTATTTAAGTTAAATGACTTGAAGGAAAGAAGACATTTGAGCATTTCTGACTAATTTGTGTAACTTAAAATGCGTGCTGCAGGCTTTGCTGTGTTTCCTGATGATGATTTTTTTTTTAAACATGCAAAAAATGGCAAAAGAATTTAAGTTAGATTTGATCTTATGCTGGTTTTAACAGGAACCAAGCTGTTTTTTTTTTTTGTTTTTTTTTTTTTGCAAATTTGCTGATATTTTGTAATGGAAAAATAACAGATTTCTACAAAATTTTAAAACATGCTGGTATTAACAAGAAGCAAGTTTGTAATATATTCCTACTTAAGTTTAATGAGTTGAACCATTAACTAATTTGAGTAGTTTGGACTAATTTGTGTTACTTAAAATGCATCGATTAAAGGACTTGTGTTACAGACTCCACATGTTAATTAAATAGATGGTACTTTTTGCAGTGTGAGTGTAAAACAAATGTAAAAATGGCAACAGAATTTAAGTTAGATTTGATTATATGCTTATATACAATATAAGGATTTCTACTTAAGTTAAATGAGTTGGATGAATGAAGTAATTTGAGTAGTTGTGATTAATTTGTGTTACTTAAAATGCATGGTTTAAGGGGGTGTTTTCCTGACTTCATGTGTTAATTAAGCAGATGGCACTTTTTGCAATATGTGAGTGAAATGAAGCCAGGTAGGATGTTTTAAAACAAGCAAAATGGCAACAGAATTTAAATTGGCTTTGCTGTGTTTCCTGGTGATGATTTTTTTTTTACTTACTTTTTAAAACGGCAAAATAATTTAAGTTAGATTTTATCTTATGCTGGTTTTAACAGGAACCAAGCAGTTTTTTTTTGTGTGCAAATTTCCTGATATTTTGTAATGGAAAAATAACAGATTTCTACTAACTTTTAAAACATGC